GTGTCTCATTACTGCTTCCAATGTGTGTGGCCTCCATCAGCACTCTAACTGCAAAGGCAGTGTGGCAAGTTGGTTTTTGGGGGCTGAGGTCTGGTTGCCTCAACTTTCTCCTTATAGGTTTACCCCTCCCCCCAGCCACAGTGAGGCTGGCTCTGGCCATGGCTACCTGGAGCCAACAAGCCTTCTAGCCTGCTCTCATCTGAGTGCAGGATGACTGGGCTTTCCCCTCTTTTCTACCTGATTCTAGGATCCTAAATGGACCAATCTGGTGTAAGCTAAATTGACCAATCAGGTTTTGAGCTCACTTCATTATTTGTTAATTATTTGTAATAGAAAACAAGCTGATTGGTGTTAAATGGTCCAATCAGGCATATAGGATGGGGGACACTAATGGGGATGTAAATCAGAGCAAGAGTCAGCTTGAGGTACTGTACAAGTTAGTCTTTGAAAATAAAGGCTAACTGTTGTTGGACCACCTTCAAAGAAGTTAGCAACCTTTCTTGAAGAGGAAGCATTCATCAGACTGCCATCAAAGGAGTCTGCTCTCAGCCTCTGAAGAGAGACATGCAACAAGCAGTTGACCTCTCTGGGACCCACCAGACCTTCAGAGACTTCTAGACCTCCACACCCCCATAGACCTTCAGGAGACTCGGCTTCTGAACCTGCCTCTGTCCCTGCCTCTGACATCTCCTGCAAGGAGCACTGTTGGCTTTGGGCCCACCTTCTCAAAGAGCTGACCACAGCCCCTGGCTCTCTGGTACCACTTCCTGGTGTTGCTGATTCCATCATTGTCTGGTCCAGCACCCAGCCCAGACTTTAAACTGTTGCTGTGTGATGCTTTTATGAGTGGCCTTTTTGGGGGGTTTCTGGACACTTCTGATGCTATCTATATTGAGAAAGCCAGTCACTTGTGGCCTCAGAATTTTTTTCCTTTTTCTGCTCTCTTGCATCTTAATTAAATCCCACTGTTATTGGACCCTGAGACTGAATTGTCTTGCAGTGGTGCATGTGGGTGAGAACTCACCATGCCCTGTCCCTGGCACTGTTTGAGCACTGTTTTAAGAGTCTTTAGCACTGTTTCAGAACTGTCTCAATACAAGAAGAGTGTAAGAGTGACCACATTCACTGCTCCTAGTATGGGAATTGGTGAAAGTTCTGATTGTTGTAGGCCTCCTCTGACATCTCTTTAGTGGAACCTATTACTTGGAAGTGTAGGTGGAAATCCATCATATCTGCTGGCACCATGGGGGAGGAGGAGGAGGGTTTGTTACTGGCTTGTAGGATTGACTTTCTATAGCTTTCTTTGATACTGCCCTGGTATGGGAGTGAAGACTGGGGTTCCTTTTTACACAGGGGGCAGAGTGGGGAGAGAGGAATGAATGAAGGAAGGGAGAAGGGAGGGAGGGAAATTGGCATACGTGATTATGGAGTTTGGAAATTGAAAGTTTCAGGACATTGAGTGTTCTTTGTAGAAAAGATTTTAATTATAAATGCTATTTCTTTAATAGATTATCCATTTTGCCTATTTCTTCTTTAGTGAGCTTTGTCATTTTGTATATTTAAAGAAATCTGGCCATTTCATCTCTCAAATTTATTGACTAGAATTTGCTCATGACAATTTTTCATCTTTTTTTTTTACAAAAGATAAATCTACAGTAATATCATCTCTGTCCTTTTTTATTTTGTTGATTTCTAATTTAATTACATTGTGATTAGAGAATATACTCTGTATGATAGGAATCTTTTAAAATTTAAAACTTGGTTTATAGCCTAAGTATATTATCTATCTTGGTTAATGTTCTGTATACTTTAGGGGAAAAAAATGTGTCTTTTGCTGCTGTTAGATGGAATGTTCTAAAAATGTCAATTTATAGACTTATTTAAGGCTTTAAAGTCATATGTGACACTTTTTTCATTATTACTTTTTTCATTATTGTCTTTATATAATTTCAACCTTGATTGAAGGTTAGGGTTGGAAGTATTCCCTCTCTAAAGAATTTCAGTGAAAATTCCTATTGACATCTTTATTTTTTTTAATATGTGATTACCTTCCAGTTTTATTATATAGTGATCAGATAATACCGATGTACTAATACTACTTAATGGAATTTATATTTCTTTATGGCCACTATTTGGTTAGTTTTCATTAGTATTCTGTGAACACTTAATGTTCTTTGTGTGTTTTCACAGAAAGATAGTTATCAGAATTTTAAAATTTACTGTTAGATCTTCTTAATCCTTACCTTCTCTATTTCTTTGGATATTATTTCCTACTATGATTTAAAATAACCTATCTTTTCCTTTTTCTCTTTCAACTCCTCTTTCATCACCAGATTTTATCAGTTATCTTAGTGTTGATTTTTTAATGTTAAATATTTTTTGTTTTATATTTTAATTGTGAATTTTAAAGATTATATTTTCACTGCCAACTTATAGATGAGGTCAGTGAATCTTTACTTCATACTTCCTTTTTTCTTTCTCCCATTTTGTCATAATATAAATCTTTCCCTCTCTGTCAGAGGGTGTCTTTTTTTCATCCCATTTTATATGTTTTTTTAGGCTTATTATTGTAGGTGATTGTAGCTAATGTTTATCACCAGCTTTTGCTAGTTTCTGCAGTCATTTTTTGGTTACTGAAGCAGTTTCTTCAGGACAGACTCATGAGAACAATATTTTTTGAGTTGTTATATCTTCAAATTGCTAGTCACTAACTTTTTTTTTAAAGATTTATTTATTTGTACATACAGAACTGGGGTACAGGCCAGAAGCTCAGGGGCGGCGAGAGGCTTCACCAGAGACAGAGTGGGGAACAGAACAGGCAGATGGACGAAGTACACTGCTGAGGGGAGCAGCGGGTGGGTCAGGAGAGGTCTGCCACGCCATGTGGTCATCTCCAGGGCAGGCGGGAATCAAACTCATGCGGAAGCGGCTTTAGATTCTCAGTGCTGTGCTTTAACCCGCTGCGCCACCAGGGAGGGCCTGCTAGTCACTAACTTTTATATTGAAAACCTTTTTGGCTTTTCTTAAGGATGATAAAAGTATTTTTCCATTGTCATATTGCATTGAAATCTTAGACTAGCCAGACTTCCCCCTTATAATTGATTAATACCTTTTTTTTTCTTTTCTAACTGCTGCTTTATTTTTGTAATCCAGTAACTTGGCTACATTCGGTCTTGGTGTAATCATTCTAAAGCCATTTTTTTCCCTGGCAATATGATGTGCTTTTTTTAAAGTTAGATTACACTGTTGACTTTTATCTTCAATTCCATTGTTTTCATTTTCTTGTTCAGGGATTCCAGTTACACATATGTTGATGTTTTTTTCTTTCTTTTCCTTCCTCTGCCATCCCCTTTTTCTCCTTCTCTCCTCTTTCTCTTCTTTTTCTTCTTACATACCACCAAAATTTTCATCTGCCACCCATTTCTCTGTAGGTTTGATCTTGCTCATTGATAGCTTTATTGCTAAATAAAATGTTTCCTATCTTTTTCATCATCAGTGTTGCATTAAGTAGCAAGAATCACACATTCCTTTTTAAATTCTTTATTGTATTGATGTCTGTGACTGAGTGCTTTTCTGAGTTTTAAACCTCAGTGGCCAGTTCTGAGTTTGGATTTGTTTCTATCTTCTGACCTTATCACAAATGCTAGTTTTCCTCAAGTCCATTGTTTAGGACAATTTTATTCATATACATTGTTTCCTCTCATGACTTAGAATAGATGTTTCAGATTACTATATTTATTGAACTCGGTGTCTTGTTATTGAACTTCTAAGATGTTTCTCTAATATATCATAGCCCAGACTACTCTTCACTTCTTCCTTTGGACATCTTCCCTCTTCTCTATCTCATTTTGTGACATCTTCATTCAGCTATCAGACTAGGAATTTAGGAGTCATTATAGACTCCTCTCTATGCCTTCCAAGCCACAACCAATCTGTTACCCAGCTCTACAGTTTTATTTGATAAATATAATTCTAGTATTGGGGTGTGATGACCAAAGAAAACAGATGTATGGGTTAGCGATAATCATGTATTTCTTTCAGGATTGTGGGTCCTCCTTATATTTCTCCCTTTTACATAATAGGGGTCCCTTGGTCTTGTTTTTGTCAAAGCAGTGCTACTATGGGGTATTCTCCAGTTCACGGTGTCTTTTTCCCTTCTGATGAAATTATTCTTCCTAAAACCTAGATCCTCTATGATTTTTTTTATAGCAAATCATTTCTCTGTAGCTAGCAGAACATGAAAGAATACTCCTGAAATGTGATGCTTAGTTCCTTAACAGTTTTCAGTAACAACAAACTGTTGCTTCCTTTGTAAATGGTTTCTCTTGAAAAAGGCCAAAATTATAGGTTGTCATTCACTTGATGTGAGTACATACAAGATGAATGTTAAGCAATCAATATATTCTGAAACTGAGAAGTTATATCAACCTTAAAATAATTGGCTTGAAGGATTGTGACAAAATATGAACACCCTTGATGACCTGAGCCTCCAGTAACACCCATGGTATCCTATTATCAATTTGATGTATTTTTTGGGTAATTTTTCTTGAGAACATTGTGAGATCAGAACGTATTTTTCATCTAATGTTTGTTGTTCTGTTGTAAAAAGCTTTGTAAATGTTTAATAGCTACATAATATCTTAGTTAAATAGTAAATTTCCTTAATTGGTTTCTCATCTTGTGTATTACATTCCAGTTTCTTTTGTCCTCCTCCTGCTGCTGCTTCTGTTATAGAGCAGAAGTGAAAACTTTACTGCATTACATTTTTTCTTAAATATACTTAGGGTAACTATCCAGATAGAGTTACTGGTTAAAACTGTTTCCTCATTTTTAAAGACTTTGACACATAGTGCCAACTTGCTTATCAAAAGCATGGTATAATGCTATATTCTCCCATCAAGCTGATAATATCTTATGCAAACCACTTTTACAAATGTTTTGTGCCTAGCGAGGGGGCCCCTGGATAGTTAGTGCTGATGCTGTCTTTGGTTTGTTTACAGGATATGGTGCCCATCATAGTTGATTACTGTCTTCTGCTACAGAGAAAGTAAGTATACATTGCCTGTCAGATTTAATTATTTTGAACCCAGGTTGCTTCTTGGTTCTATTATAATTTACTGCTAAGAATTTTATAAATTTGACTGGATAGGTTCTTAAAGGAATTTTAATTTATAAGAATTTCATTCTTGAACAATTTTTAGTCTATTTATCTAACAAAAACAATGTTAACAAGATAAGTATTTCATGTGTATCATCTGTATATTTGTGTGGCAAATAGTGGTGGAGGAAATAGCTAACAAAAGACCAATACTACTGTAAGACCTTAAAAGTAAAAGTGTATCATTCATGTGCTATGTATATATTCTTATTAGCTGTTTCTAAAACACAGTATTTCGTACTACTTCCCCAGAAGGTCAAAATTCATTGTGTTTCTGCAATCTTGGCCTTTAAAGCCTTTTAAAAGAATTTAGTATTGGGCCTTCCTGATGGCACAGGGGTTAAGTCACAGCATTATAAGATGTCACCAGCCATTGTGGCATGAGTTTGATCTGTATCTCACCCGATGCTCCCCTCAGCAGTCTATTTCAGTAGATCCACCTGTTCTGCTCCCTACTCTGTCTCAGATGAATCCTCTTACCTCCCACACCTCCGGCCTATACCTCAGTTCTTGTGTATATAAATAAATAAATCTTAAAAAAAAAAGAAAAGAAAAGAAAAGAATTCAGTTGTTACCAAACTCTTAAGTGGTGGTTTAAATTGTATCAGTTAACCAACCTGTTCTAGTTTACAGTTTTTTTACACTTTTATACTAGCTGACTCCTTGCAATACCAGGTATTGTTCTCAAAAACCTTTACAATATTTTATAATATTTTTATTTTAATTTTTATAATAACTTAGCTAATTTTTATAGCAGTAAGGTATAGGCATTATCTTCTTTTCACACGGGGAGTTGTAGAGGCAGAAAGTGATTAAATAACTTGTCAAAGCTTACTTTTCCTTTAAATAGCAAAATTGAAATTCAGATACAGGCAGTGTAGCTTTTGTGCTCTTGTTCTTAACCACTAGCTTATACCCTTTCTTGAGTGATGGTGAATAAATGTGAGGAACCATTGCAGATATCCCCAAATCTTATATAACATTCATTTGGCTCTTGAATTTATGTGTTTAAATAATCGGAATCATATAAGATTGGATCATTCTTTGAAATATCAGTAAAGAGGGTAGCTGTTTGCTGTGTCAGAACTAAGAGTAAGTAATGAATAGCCACGCCTGCTTACATGGGGCTCACATTCATTCCAGTGTTTGAGCTGTAATTTTATATTTAATTATTCAGTGGACTGTTGTATTCATGGTTTGGATGTTGTTAAAAACATAGCTTAATGTTACACGTTGTCTTTTTTTTTTTTTTTTAAGATTTACTTATGCATACAGAGTTGGGGTACAGGCCAGAGGTGCAGTGGCAGTGAGAGGATTCACCAGAGGCAGAGTTGGGAACAGAACAGGCCAACTGACGAAGTACGCTGTTGAGGGGAGCAGCAGGTGGTTCAGGAGAGGTCTGCTGTGCCATATGGGTCACCTCCGGGGCGGGATTGAACTCATGCTGAAGTGACTTTAGCGTCTTAGTGCTGCGCTTTAACCCGCTGTGCCACCAGGAAGAGCCCAACATTGTCCTTTTTTTTTTTTTTTTTTAAGATTTATTTATTTATACAGAACTGGGGTACAGGCCAGAGATACGGAGGGTGAGAGGATTCACCAGGAACAGAGTGGGAGCAGAACAGGCAGATCTACGAAGTACACTGCTGAGGGGAGCAGCGGGCGGGTCAGGAAAGGTCTGCCATGCCATGTGGCTTAAGCTTCTCAGTGCAGTGCTTTAACCCGCTGCGCCACCAGGGAGGGCCCACATTGTCTTTTTTATGAGAACTTGAGAACCTGTTAGTGCTAGAAATACCTTTGTGTATTCTGAATGCTAGTTCCATTACAGCTTGTACACAGTGAATTGTATAGCTAATGGCTATTTTCTGGAAAACTTATTGCTATATATTTATATATCTACATATATGAACCACATTATAGATTTTCTTCATTTTTTTCTTTTCCCACTTCCTTGTTATTCATCTGGTATTTTTTAAAACAATGTCAATGCTTATGGCTCAGTTTCACATATTATTTCGTTTATTCTTTATAATTGCAGTATAAGATAGGTAGAAATTCTATATTCATGTTCATATGAAAAAATTGAATTGGAAAAATGTTCCTAATTCTAGTAACTACTGGAGTCAGCACAAATCTTCAAATTGAAATAGTTCCAAATGAGGCAGAGTACCTAAAGGACTAGATTTTGTGCAGAATAAGAAGTTTAATCTTTAAAAAATGGATTATTTGGGCTTCCCTGGTGGCTCAGGGGGTTAAAACGCAGCAATATGAAGCTATCCACAGCCATTGCAGCATGAGTTGGATCCCCGGCCACGGAGCTGACCCACATGGTGTGGCAGACCTCATCTGTCCCTCCTGCTTCCTTCAGCAGTGTATTGCAGTCATTCTATCTGTTCTGTTCCCCATACTATCTCTGGCGAATCCTCTCATCCCCTGCACTTCTGCCCTATACCTCAGTTCTTGTATGTGTAAATAAATAAATCTTTTAAAAAATAAAATGGATTATTCCTACCTAAATTGGTACCTGTCATAAAGTTTGTCAATACCTAAAGGATGGATTGATGAAATAATTCTGTCTCCAGGTTTGCAGAATAACAGGTGACCATTTTCTTGAATGCTTAAATACTCTCACAGTGGTTGAAAGTTGAAATAACCCTGCTAGCAGCTTAAGATGAAGGATTATAGGGAAATAGAAAAATATTCTTTCTTACAGAAAAATTTGTGTTATTCCCAAAATTGTTGGCGATAAATTGTCCTTTTTTATATAATTTGAAAATGAAGTATTTCCAACTTTATTTAATCTATTGATCGACTAAATAGGCACCAATTTACTCATTAAATCATAGTATATGACATAGAAGATAAAGCCTGGTCTATATTTTCAGCTGATAAGGATGTTTATTATTTCTTCATTTTTAGCAACTTTACTTGCTTTAAATTTTTTCCCCACTCTGCACATTTTCTTCTAGGCTATGTTAGAAGCAAAAACAGTATTGTTGGAGAGCTCAGAGAGAATTTTCAGTCATACAGAATTCCTGAATGTAGGAAGGGAGATTTCCAGGGTCCTTTTTCAGACTCATCCTGGTTCATTTTGCAGCTCTTACCTGCCAACCTCCTGCTCTCTGGGATGCATTTACACATGTACTCCCTAGATCAAGGGCATGGACATTTTTCCTAACTTTAGTGCAAACAGTCTGGCTTCCTTCTCTCTCAATTCCATTTCCAAAAGCTAAAGACCAGATTGTGCTAGATCCTACTTTTGCTAGTGTGTTCTTACTCTATTTTTTCTTACTTTCCCTACTTTTTATACACTATAAATACTGGTTCCAATGTTCCCTCTTGTTTTCCAGATTTTGTGCTCTTGTGCTTGCTAACTTCTCAAAATACTGACTTTTCCTTTTCATCACAACATTAAGATCCTATATATGGGCTTCTGTTCGGGAGAATGTTGAAAGTCAGATTATTGAAAGTCAAATAGACTTCAATTAACTTCTGATTCTTTGTTTGTAGGACAACTTTTAGTCTTTCTCCATTTCAAGTATGCATGATTAAAAATGTATTAGCTGAAAAAGTCCATGTTTACTTAAACAGTTCAGTGTAAATTACTGTTAAGTGGTAGTTTTTATAATCTTATCTTGCAGTTGCCATAAAAAGATAAAATAAGGTCAATTTCCTTTGCTAAATTGAAGTCAAGAGATTGTAAAGATGTATGTAGCTTTGTTCCAGTATCTTTCTTCTTCAACTGGATATTTTATATAACTCTTTTCTTTGACATTTGAGTCCATTCACATCTAGGGTTTTCTTTCTACATTTCAAACTTTCAAAGTATATTATAGCATTAACACTGCTTTAAGGAATGTTCAGATCCTGCATAACACAAATGCAGTCTTCCAAAGTCTAATCTAAACCTAGTACTCAGCCAACTTCAGGTAACTTCTTCCTGCATGATCACTTAGACACTCATTCTGGCCCCAGATAACACATATATTAATAGCATTTGATTGGACACACTCTTTTATTGTTAGTCCTCATTATCTTCACAATTTGTTTACATTGGTCAAATTCTAAACACAATGCATATTCTGAAACTAATTTTAACACAATATCACACACATGATTATACCATAGTCACTATTACATTATAGCCTTATAATTCATAGAACCCCACACCCACGTGTAATATTAATTGAATTAGTGGTTCATTATATATGTATTCATACATAAGAATTCTTTCATGATGTGAAATCCTTTTTTATGCCATAAAATATGACAGGAGCTGCATTTCTTTTTCTTTGTAGGGAATATAGATCAATGTGTTATGAGTATCTGGTTGGGTTAAAATTTGTCCATACAGTCTTTTCGTGAATTATTTAAAATTCAAAATACAGGAAATTCTTTTATATTTTTTTTTGAAGGAATACTTTGTTTTCAGATTTGGTCTGTGTCCTATAATTTTATTGTCAGGTAGTATGTGTTGTTTTCAGTGTTAGACAAAAGATTTTTGTTGGACATTTATTCATTGGTTGTTTTGCCTATATGACAGTAGTCATGCTTTCAGTTTATTTGAAAATGTTTTGATACTTGAACCATAATTATAATTTTAAATATTTTTAAATATAGGTGCTTTATGATTATGCTTGAACTATATCTTAGTAAGGTTGTTATAAAACAGAGACTGTTTAGAGGATCTGACCACATAGAGTTTATAACACTAGAAGCAAATTATCTAAAGAGTAGCAATCATTAAAATGACTAGAATCATACAATTAGAATATATATCTTAATATATATTTAATATAGGTTGTTACTAAATATATGAAATACATAATATTTCAGTTAAAATAAATGTGAACCTGAAGTGATCTTTTGATAGCCAAAATATGTGTTCAATCGTGGTGCCCAATATCAGGTGTTTTTTTTTTTTTTAAAGATTTTAAAATTTATTTATGCATACAGAACTGAAGTACAAGCCAGAGGTGCAGAAGCAGTGAGAGGTTCACCAGAGAAAGAATGAGGTGCAGGACAGGCAGATGGATGAAGTAACACTGCTGAGGGGAACAGCGAGAGGGTCAGGAAAGGTCTGTTGCACCATGTGGGTCACCTCCGGCCAGGGATCAAACTCGCACTGAAGTGGCCACAGCCAGCTTGCAGTGCTGCGTCCTTACCCATTGCGCCAACAGGGAGGGTCAACATCAGGTTTATAATTTGAGAAACAGATCTTCATTTTCAAGCATAGCTGAAGAACTGGGTGTTTTGAATACTGTTTTATTGATAAGGGTATGTGAAATATTTTAATTTCAAAGTGTGTGGGGAGGGCAAGGTACCATGTCTTTTTTACTTCATACCAGCTATATTGAAATATAATTCATATACCATAAAATTAAAATTTAGTATTCACAGAGTTACAGTCATTATCCCAATTAAGCCATGTCTTTTTATTTATTTATTTATTTGTGCCTATAGAACTGGGGTACAGGCCAGAGATGCAGGGCCGGTGAGAGGATTCACCAGAGACAGAGTGGGGAGCAGCACAGGCAGATCCACGAAGTACACTGCTGAGGGGAGCAGTGGGTGGGTCAGGAGAGGTCTGCCGCGCCATGTGGTCACCTCCGGGGCAGGCAGGTGGAGATTGAACTCATGCTGAAGTGGCTTTAGCTTCTCAGTGCTGTGCTTTAACCTGCTGAGCCACCAGGGAGGGCCAAGCCATGTCTTTTTTAAAGGAAAACTTTACAAACTGTAATACATATGTCAGAAAGGAGAGCTTTTTGAACATAATTTCTTAAAGTTTCTTTGAACTTTCACATTTTTTCAAATAAAGAGATCAACCCAAATCAACTTTGAGTTTATTAAATGCCACTTATATTTAGTGGGGGTGTATTTAATTGGTCTGGCTATATATTCACTATAGACTTGCAAATAATAGGATTTTTATGTTCCAGCTCCTTTCAGTCTCTGAATTTGTAATTATCTCATAATCAAAGCTGAGTTCTTTGCATTTTTTAAATTAAAAAATTGATAATGTGCAAAGTGAATTTAGTAATTTCGTCTATCAGTTTAAAGTTATGAATGATAAGTTCCAAGTAATATCTTTAATGTATTAATAACATAAAATGAAATTCTATCAAAAGAAGACCTCTGTGATGGCCCTCTATTATTCAGAATAGATTTTCTATTATTCTATCAGGAGATAAAGTTTGAAATGATAAGTAGCAATTTTGAGGTTTTCCCTTCCAAGAGAAAAAGTCAGCCGCCTGAAAGTATATGATGCCTAAATATAGAAAGAAACACAAGAGCTAAAAAAGTTTTCTTATTTTTTCCCCTCCTTTCTTCCCCACTGTGCTAATTAATATTCTTCTAGTGTAATGTCAACATATCTTAGGATTTTGTTTCATTTTTATTTCAAGATAGAGGCACAGATATGAGTTGCAGAATTTTATTTTTCTTGTGTCTTTATTGGAACCTCTGACTGGTTAAGAAAAGTATAACATTTTACCATTAATCTCACCAGCATTGCATGCTGCTATTTGTCATAGGTGCGCCTTGTTGGTCAACTCTTTTGCTCTGTTTACTGAATTTTTAGCTCTTTAATTCTCTTCCTATAGCTTTTTGTGCTAAACTAAAATATATAATTATCTTTCCTAGCATGTTGTTTTTAACAACACACTACAGAGCACAAGAGCTAGCAAATAGGACATTTTCTTTAAATTCGTTAGTTTGTTACTCTTAATCTTTCTTGCTGTAAAGCTTCATTAATCTCAGTTTCTTTTGCCTGACTAGTAATTGGTAATCACAAAAATGTGATGAACTATTGATTGAAATGAAGCTAACAAGGAAAATGCTGATAAATATGAAGCAAAGGGGAAAATGATGCAAAAATTACATTTGTGGATATAAGGAAAAAGTAAATGGATATGGATTTTCCCTCCAGGATATTGCAAATACTGTTGATTAAAAAGTGGCATGTGGTTCTGGTGCCAGTTGTAGCCACTCCCATTTATCATCTGCCCGTTACCATAGCTTCAGATGAGGCAAGACCCCTCTCCCATTGCATTTCTTTCAAAATCTTCCTTGACGTGGAACTTGTCATAAAAACCACTTAGCCCTTTTCACAGTTGACATGAATCACATATAAAAAGGTTAAATTGTTAGTAAGCAATAAATAAAAATCCTAACAAGTAGATAGAATTAGCACACTTTTTTTGTATTAAAAAAAGGAAAGAATGAATCAGTGAATGATATAAGACAAATGCAATATAGGAATAGAAAGAAGGAAAACATTTGATTTTTTCAGTTATCAAAGAATTGAGAATAATATTATTTAATTTATACTTGTTAGATCATCTGGAAAAGATACACAATTATCTAGTGAAACTGGTATAATTACTCATTAGTGGTGGCAATATAAATTGGTATTGTGATGCTCTTAGAAGGTAATTTGGTGATACAGATTTTTTCATCTTTTGACTTAAGATAAGTTTCTAAAAATAGAATGAATAAGGAATTAAACCCTCAAAATGGGAAAGACTGTATCTGTAGATGTTTACTGTAACTTCACTCATGCTAGTAAAATATTGGAAATAAGTGATATATGCAATGCTGCCAGCATAGTAAGTAAATTCTGATGTTTCACAATGGATACAGTGGTCATTTTAAAAAATAGGTGGCCATTTAAAACAATATTTATTATATGCCATGTGAAAACAATTCAGAATTATATCTGTCATGAGTATAACTAACTTTAATATTATTTGTTGACTGCTTACAGAAGAATAATGAGCTAAAATTATTGTGGTGGCATTTTGATTAATTTAAAATTTTTGTTCTCAACAAAATTGTTTTCAGACACATTTTGTTTTTAAAATACTGAACATTTTCTTCTTTGGGGATTAAAGGGTAAGAGCTAGATAAAAGAGCAAATTGACTGCAGATCAGTTGGGAATGTTTAGGTATCAGGAAAGGGGAAAGAGCACATTATGATTAGTCCTTTATAATTTTTTAAAGCGTCAGTTATTTGTTTTACCCCACTGTATCTGTTACACATCTCCAAATACATGATGCCACACCATGCCTACCACCAAAGCCCCGTAACCCTTCCTATCTCCTCTCGCTCTGGTGGTCTCAGTTGTGCAGTTTTATTTTTAGGGTTTGCTTGATTTATTTCCTATTTCAAGTCCACCATACCCCGTGTTCCCATGTTAGTCTGTCTTTAAAAAGCAGTGTGCCATAGCAGATTCAACTAAGGATTTAAGCTAGAAGACTAAGTTCAAGGTCTGACTCTGTTACCTGTAAGCTCCATGGCTATTAGCAAATAATTTTGACTTTTTCAACTTTGCTTAGCTGTACAAAAAAAGAATGTATTAGGAAAATTCAGATGGTATATATAAAAAAGATGTTATAATATATTAAGTTCTAGGTGACTATTGTTACTTTTTAAATAAAGAGTTAGTGAAAAATCTGAAAAAGATGAGATATACTTAGCCAACTGAATTTAATGAATGGAATGTTCCTGAAAGTATTTTTTCCCTTTTCTGTTATAGGGATCTTTTATTTAGCCAGATGTATGACAAATTAAGTGAGAATTCAGTGGCCAAAGGAGTGTTTTTGGAGTGCCTTGAACCATATATTTTAAGTGATAAATTGGTGGGGATCACACCCCAGGTAATGAAAGACTTGATTGTTCATTTTCAAGATAAAAAACTAATGGAAAATGTGGAAGCCCTCATTGTACATATGGATATCACCAGTTTAGACATTCAGCAGGTGAGTTTATTCATAATCTGCTAATTTACGGAATAAACATATAGTTTCTTTATTGATTGTATTTCTCTTACTCTGCCTTCTGTCTACCCCAGTTATTTATTACACACTTTTGGTAAGCTATAAATTGGTTTGTCAGTATATTTCTTAAGACTGGTGAAAGCTAAATTATGAATCTGGCAAGTCAGGAGTCTTCAGTTTCCTTAACGTCCCCCATAGCTAGCTCCTAGCATTGCTTTTTGACTGATTCTTCTTCGCCTTTTGTTTATTCACTACTAGTTTTTATCCTGCAAGGGAATTTCAACTGAGTACTTTTGCACGAATAGAGTATTTTTACTTTTAAGAGTATGATGTCCTTGTTTTCAAAAAGTTCGATTATAAGTCCAGGTAATTTTTATAGATGGCATTTGTAGTGCAGAACATAGTATATGAAGCAAATTAAGGATGTCTTAGCATGATCAATCCACCCATTGTTTGATAATGTGCCCCCAGCATATATGAGGTCTCCATAATAAGCTTCCTGTCCTACATTGAGGTTCAGTATGTATTCTGGCCTAAGACACATCACAGTTTTAACTCTTTAGTTTTACATTAGACCCAATGCAGTGCTTGCTACTCCATCTCACTCTGCCCAGTTACAATCAGATTTCTTGAAAGCATTACCTAGTTTACGCTCTCCATTTTTTTCAATACCCAGATAAAACTTCAACCTTGCTTCCACTAGAGTCAGAAATCACCTCCAAATCCTCTGTATCAAGCAGTATTTTAAATTTTATTCACTTTTTAAACAGCATTCTAGTTTTTATTGTCCTTTTCACAGGCAAGAGTTACCCTCTCATAAGGCCTGCATTTTCAAGAAAAAAAAATAATAAAAAATAAGGCAGAAATATCCAAAAAGCAGATTAAAAGTCAAACGGGCTTTTTGGCCTCAAGAGAGAGGATAATTTAGATTAGCGAATTATTGACAGTTTTCCTGAAGAAGCCTCATTCTGAATAATTAGTAATGTAAAGATCTTGGAAGAGAAGATTGTTTCAGGTAAAAGCAACATCAAATGCAAAACAAACATACATGTACCCACATACAGAGGATAAGTAGCTTGGGTATTAAAGTAACAGATAAAAAGGCAAGTGGATTTGGCGCTTGGTTGAAAGGGAAAGGTAGGCCTTTCAAGGCAAAGTACAAATTTTTTTCACTTTATTCTAAGTATTCTGGGAAATCATTAACAAGTTTTAAGCAAGATCACCCTGACTTATTTTGGCAATAACAGAATTAGGAAGCTAGTGGCCTAATTAGGAGTTGTTCCGTCATGGCCTGAGATGGTAGCTTGAGGAAGAGAGAAGTGAACTGATTTTGGATGTTTTGGAGAGCAAGATAATTTGTTAATGAATTGGATGTGAGGGTGTGAAAAGAAATCATTTATGATATTTACTTTTTAGTTGGAGAAATAGTGTGGATAGTGATTCCTTAAAGACCTCTATGAAAATTGAAGACCAGAGTAGGTCTAAGCATAGGAGACAAAATTAGGAGTTCTGTTTTGTCATTTTGTTCTTAGATAACTACTAGACTTTCAGGTAAGATATCCAGTTGTATGCATGGGTTAAAGAGGAGGTTAGGACTGCAGCTGTGAATGTAAAGGTCTGTAGGGTTGTAGCACTGGCTTAGAGGGAGGATAGTGAGAGAAGAGAAGTTGTTGCCTTTGCCTAAAAAGTCAACTCATTTCCATTTTTCTTTTTACCTCTCTGACTGTTCCTTATTCTGCTTTGCCAACCTCTATTACACTTAAGCATTTTTTCTTGTCACTTTATAATTTATATAGCTCTCGTAGGAACAGAATATAGCATATTCTATCCTTCAGGTCATCTCTATTCCTCCTTCTAAATATTTTCTCTTCATCCCTAAATACATCACATTTTACCCACCTACACACCTTTATCCATATTGCTTCTCTCTGTAGAATCCCCAGTCTCCTTCTCTAGCTTTGGCTCACATATATGATTGCTTTAGGTTCTAACTTAAAATATTGCCCTCAGGGATGGCCTTCTAAATACCCCTGAGTCAGTTTCCTTTATCACACTTGTTATAAATTTATTATTTGTAAGTTGATTATATGTGTAATTGGGTATCTTCCCTAAGTCATAACTCACACACCACTTTGTGCTTCTCTGCTTTTTTGGTGAGTATCCAGATGATGGAAGTTCTGTAGGGGTAGACTAGATCTGGGCTTGTCTTACCTTTCTCCAGTGCCTAGGTGAGGGCCTGACTATCGGTGGTCAATTAATATTTGTAGAACTGTTGACTAAAGGTAAAATGCATGTGGAAAGGGGAAGAATAAAGAAGAAATAAAATTAGACATTGGAGGATGTTTGAAAGTAGTTATTGCTAATTAACAGTACTATTGAATCACAACCACTCTTAGATTGGTATTGTATCTGAGTACTTGAAGTTCAGGTTTTTTTCCAAACAAGGAATAAGGAAAATTAAAGGAGAGATTATGATATTTTACTCATTCTTAAAATTTTAAGGACAGTGATTAGTGATGCTTAATTGGTGAATTATATGGGCAAAACAACTTTTTTGTCTTTACAGATAGTTCTTATGTGTTGGGAAAATCATTTATATGATGCTATGATCTACGTCTACAATAGAGGCATGAATGAATTTATTAGTCCAATGGAGGTAAGGTATTTCCTAACCTTGGTACATATGTAATATTATCTAGTAATATTTCCCCCCTATTCTTCATTCAATTTGAATAGGTTTTTATTTTTCATCCAATGACTTTAAAATTTCTATAAATTTATAAGATGTTCATCCATTTTAATTGGGACTTTAGGGTGCTTTAATTTCACACCCCCTGCTATTGCTTTATTGTTTTTTTAATCTGTAGTAAGTCCTGAAAATAGCAAGAGGTCATTTTTGCTAATAATTGGTTTATTGTTTTTCCAGGTCAAAATTTTGTGACTTTCATTATAGTTTCTTATTCTTCTGCCATTAGAAAGGAACATTAAAAAAGCATTTTAGCTTCTTAAAAAAAAAAAAGCACCTTATTTGTCTCAAAATTTGAGGACAGGGTTGTGGATACAGATAGTGCATTGCTACTCACTTCCTTATTGTAGTGAGTGATAACCTGGTTCAGAAGAGTAGGGCACCTGCTGAAGGTATATTGGCTCCCCCAAAACTACTGATGCATTCAGGATGTAAGGGCGAACAGTGATAGCTGTCACTCCCTTGCTAGCCATGATTGATTCAGCTGTTGTGGCTGGCTAGGTGGGTGTCCCCTTCCTGCCTCACTGCTCCCTGAGCATCCCTGCTCCCTTAGTTGAAGAGAACGGACACCCCAGAATAGAGATGGACTCTTTTTTGGTCAAGAGTATACCAGGAGCTGTGCTCCCCTGCTAGAACCTCCAACAAACTCTCGAGGTCCAAACTATTATTATGTTTAGTATTACTAAATGTTTGATATGTTCAGTATTATTAAATCAGTGGCCATTCTGTGATATTGCTGACTTCTTTAAACCTGCCTACCTGAGTAGGTGAGAATCCATCTAATTCATTACTCTCAGTTTTAGTTGTACCTCTCTTCTTTGGGTCAGTTTCCAAACAGTGCCCTAGCTCTCTTCCATGAGTTTTGATCTCAGTTGTCTGTGTGTCAGGTTTTCTTTACACTTGAACAACTCTCACATGTCTCCTCACTGAGTTCTGTTATATCCCTGTCAGCTGCTTCCTCAGGGAAAACCTTTATTCTTTACACACAGCACTGTTCTCTGTCCCACAACTCAGCCACAATTAGGAAGAATTAATAGGACTTCTAGTTTCTGTCAAAAAATCCTTAAAAACAGATTCTAATTTGAGATATTTTGTTATTATTGCTTTTGAAGTTTAATACGTGCACATTTATACCTGTACATTTCAGATGAACTGTGTTGGGCTGTGGAGGCTGCCTTGTTTATGTTAAGAGTAGTTTTCAAGTTTAATGGTTTTCAGCAGGGGTTTGATACTTGTTATTTAATAGTCATTTGGAGATTTTTAGCAATGGGAGGTTAGATGTAGCCTGTGGTTCCTCTTTTGTAATTCTCTGCCTATAAGGGAATCACTTTGCAGTGCTTAAAAGTTTAGTTATTTCAGTACTAAAAGAGATCTAAATTAAGAAGAGCTGTGGCACCTTTTGCACTTTTCTAGAGTGAAAGAAAGAATTGTCACATTTGAGATTACTGTTAATAGAATCTGAAGTATTTCCTTAATTCTAGTTTTGATTGTTTCTGAAGTACAAATTGTTTGTGCCAAGTGTTTGGAGGAAAACTTTTTCTCTATTTAGATTCTCCAATGGTGGCGGGGAGGGTGGGGGGAGAGGAGTACTGCCAATTAGCTGACAATGAACAGATTAATAAAAAAGATAAGGTTCATTCATCCATGTATTTAGAACATTCAAACTGATTAGCTAGGGTAAATGTTTTATACCAGTTTACTAAAATGTTGCTGGGGGGATGTTGGGGAAGGTTAGAACTTCAATGGAAAACTATGAAAATTTCATTAGGCTTCTGGATAGTGGTGTTGCGGTGTTTGTACATCCCAGGGCTAACAGTCCATTTTCCTTTAAATGGGAAAGTACCTCTGAGGAACACCAGTTTAGTTTTGCCATTAATTTTATTGTATTTTCAGAGATTCTGCTTAATAGATTTTTGGTGGCTGCTGATTGTTCAGATGTTTTCAGTTGAAAAGTCATCTTCATTCCTGTTCTGCTAGACTATTAAACCCTTCACTTGCATACCATTTTTCAAAGATTAAAGCTTCTTCAGGAACTTAAGGGTGCTAGAAATTATTTTTCCACAAAGATCTTCATCTAACTAGTATTTATTAGTTTGTTTTTTAGTGAGAAATTTGACAATGATTGTTTAGCAGTGATCCTTGCAAAAACAGTTTATAGTTACATTAAGAGTGTTTATATTAATCTCAGTAGTGAATGACTAATAATTTAGAGAAAGGTGATTAATAGCATAAGGATTTTGAGTTATCTTTTTAAAAATATTCTTTACTTTAAATAATGGTGATTTTCCTGTTAATTTTAATACAGAAACTTTTCAGAGTCATTGCTCCTCCTCTGAATGCAGGAAAAACACTAACAGGTATTTTTTTCCTCTTTTTTTATATTTTAAGATATTATTTAAGCATCATAAAATTCACCAAGGTTATATGCACAGTGTAAATGTGATAATCATGGGCCCTCCCTGGTGGCACAGCAGTTAAAGCACAGCTCTAAGAAGCTAATGCCACTTCAGCACGAGTTTGATCCCCAGCCCCGTAGGTGATCCACATGGCATGGCAGACCTCTCCTGACTCGCCCGCTGCTCCCCTCAGCAGTATATTTCGTCAATCTGCTTGTTCTATACTCCACGCTGTCTCAAGTGAAGTTTCATTCTGCCCTGGTATCTCTGGCCTATACCCCAGTTCTGTATACATAAATAAATAAATATTTTTAAAAATTTGATAATATATATAATACAAATATATAATGCATATTATACCTGCCACCATAGTCAGCCTCTAGAAGGAATTATGTATTTTCTTCACCTAAGACATTTCCTTGTACCTCTTTGTACTCTGTTCTTTCCCCCACAGTCCCATGTCCAAGCAATAACAGATCTATTTTCTATTGCTCAATTTCATGTAAATGGAATTTACATGTGTAATCTTTGGTAATCTCTCTCTCTCTTTCTCTTAGTCAAATGTTTTTGAGGTTCATTCATGCCTTTGAAAGTACTAATATTCCATTACATTTACTTCTTAATGGTATTCCATGGATCAACATACTGTCATTTGTTTACTTACCAACTGATGGACATTAAGTCCTTCCAATTTTGAACTATCATTAGAAGTGTTGCTATAGTTGGGGCCCTCCCTGGTGGTGCAGCGGGTTAAAGCACTGCACTGGGAAGCTAAAGCCACTTCCACATGAGTTCGATTCCCACCTGCCCCGGAGGTGACCACATGGCGTGGCAGACCTCTCCTGGCCCTCCTGCTGCTCCCCTCAGCAGTGTACTTCATCGATCTGCCTGTTCTGCTCCCCACTCTGTCTCTGGTGAAGCCTCTCACGGCC